GGGGATGTGCCCGTAACCAAGGTACATGCCCTTGACCGGAATCGAACCCGGGACCCTTCAGTCCGCAGGCCGATGCTGTATCTACTGAGCCAAACCAGTTAGGGCAAGGCTGTGATTTTAATAGTCTCTTTTTTCATATTTACAAAAAAAAGTATTTTACTAAGTGTTTGAGATTATAGGTCACCTCTACTTATGGTGATTAATTAAAAATTCATCAGGAATCTGAAGATGGTTAGGTTAGAACCTCACATCCTACTCCTGTTTTATTTTTATGATGATAATGGTTTTTTTTTTTCATTGAATTTATTGGAGTTACATTAGTTGATAAAGTTATATAGGTTTCAAGTCCTATAACATATCATATTGTACTGTGTGTTCACCTTCCAAGGTCTAGTCTTACATCACTTTGTCTCCTTCCAGTTTCTCTCTCTACCTCCCCTAGAGAGAGCTAAAGAAGACAGTTATTTCTACAGAGTGATTTTGAGGACTCTAAAAGCCCTTTCTTATTTTAAACATAGATATTAAAAATACTATTCAAATATTAATTAATAATATTGTTAAAATTAAGTATTATTTAGAGCATAAAATATATATACAGTGGTAGGCTAAAGTAGGTTTACAATTGTGAGTATGCAAAATTATTATTCTTGTATTATTTATTAATTATTGTTGATTTTTTACTGTACAAAAAACTGTAAACCTACTTTTGCGTGCGTGTGTGTGTGTGTGTGTGTGTGTGTGTATTCCACAGTGGCAACTCTTGGAAATTTGTATGTGAGTCATAGAACACTGATAAAATATAAATTAATTTAAAATCCACCAAAAAGCATATATATCTGGGAGGAAGAGTATATGTGTTCATTAATTGATTGGCTTGAAACATTTGTCAGACTAATTAATGTATTACTAGGTAGGGCCCTAGAGAAATGAGACACAGGCAAGACCATTCAGATAGAGAGGGGCATGAGGGGTTCCATGTCAATGCCAAGGTCAACACGAAGGCCAGTCAATGAAGGGAAGAGAAGTGGCAACAGGAAATAAGAGAAGGAAGGCCATGGAAGGACTTTCACTGATTTCATCAGGTTGATCTCTTCCTTCATGGAGATTTCTGAATCCTTCTCCATTACATACTAACTTACTATGTTCCAGCCTTCCTGGCATACAAGAGCCTGTACGGCTTGGCCTAATATTATCTGCCCAACTGTCTCCCTCATGACTTCAGGCATCTTTGTCTGCACATCCTATGCTGAGTCATGACTTCCTGCTTCAGGTATCTCCTCCACTTCCAATGGCCTCTGCCTCCTGTACCCATTCCTCTTAAAAAACACTTTCGTACCAGGACTGGCAAGATTCTTATCTGCAAAATTAGCCATCCTAACACCACCCCATCAAAATAGTTCCTTTAATTTGAATCTTCAGTCTATTCCATGTAATCTGTTGTTTTGCTTATACAACCTATAACCAAATGTCACAGGTTTTCCAAACTTCCAGAATTATCCTTATCATTTATATAAAAATAAAAATAATCTATTCTTCAGCCTATCTAATTGCACACATTCCCTTTTCTCCTCTGGTATTTTCAAAAATCCCTTGGAAATATTTACATATTCCAGAAATTCCCCTGGTTGCCATTTGCCCGTTCTCAAGCTGGGTCACTCTGGATGCTTGTCCCATGTCATCTCCTGCTCCTCATGATTGCTTCTCCATGATGTGGCAGCTTTCTCTGATTCGCTTCACCCCAAAGCTTAAACTTGCTTCACTCCCAAAGTTGATGGTAATGAAAATGATTCAAATTTTTTTGAACACTCACTTGTTGCCAGATTCTCTTCCAAATGCTGTATGCATATTTCTTTCTTTCTTTCTTTTTTTAATATATATTTTATTGATTTTGTACAGAGAGGAATGGAGAGAGATAGAGAGTTAGAAACATCGATGAGAGAGAGTCATCGATCAGCTGCCTCTTGCACACCCCCTACTGGGGATATGCCCGCAACCAAGGTACATGCCCTTGACCGGAATCGAACCTGGGACCCTTCAGTCCCCAAGCCGACGCTCTATCCATTGAGCCAAACCAGTCTCGGCTGTATGCATATTTCTTCACCAAGTTTTCACTGACAACCCTATAGGCAGACACTATTATTATCTTCACTTTAAAAGATAGGTCAATGGAGACTCTTAGAGGTTAGATAATTTATCTATTGCAAGTCACACTTCAGGTAAGTAGTGGATATGGTATTTATATTATATTCTATTTTCATTTTTATTCACTTTGAAATATTATTTAATTTCCTTTGTGATTTCTTCTTTGATTCATGGATTAGTTAGAAGTATAATATATTATTTAATATCCAAATTGTGGTGGCTTTCCTAGATAGTTCATTGTTATTAATTTCTAATTTAATTACAATATGATCAGAGAACATACTGTGTATGACTTCAATGCTTTTAAATTTACTAAGACATGTTTTGAGATCCAACACAGAATCTGCCTTGGTGAATGTGCTATATACACTTGAGAAGAATTGTTAGGTATGATGTTCTAGAATCAATTAAATCTGGGTGATTATAATGTTCAGATAATCTATACCTTTACTGGTACATTGGTTGTGGGAATCGAACCCAGGACCCTTCAGTCCGCAGGCCGACGCTCTATCCACTGAGCCAAACCGGTTTCGGCTTATGCCTACTATTTCTGTGGTAAATCTTTTTCTAGCCATTTTTTCCCCCCATGTCTCTATGTTTATAGTAAATCTCTTATAGATAGCATGTATTTTTGGGTTTGCTTTTTCCTTTTAATTAAAATGCTTCATCCATTAACATTTAAAATAATTATTCATATAATTGGATTTAGGATTACATTAAATTATTTTTTGGTTTGTCCCCTCTAATTTTTATTCCTCTGTTACAACTTTCCTGCCCTCTTTTGAATTTCATCTAAATATATCTATTGGTTTTTCAGATATACTTTGCATTCTTAAGGAGGTTGTTGTAGGGCTCTGCTGTCCAATGCATGGTTGTCAGGGAGCAGGCCTAAACTAACAGGCAAACATGACTGTGAGAGGGTGAAGGTCAGGCTGAGGGGACCCCCACTGTCCCCCCCTGAACCCCCTCCCCACCTCCAGGGCATGAATCTCATGCACCAGGCCTTTAGTTTGTTTATAAGGGTAATATGCAAATCCATTCCGTTGTTCAGTTGATTTGCATATTACCCTTTTATTATATAGAATATAAGTGTGAATTTGAGAATTTGAGCTTAATGAGAACGATAAAAGCCCTTATATCTCTATAAGATGCATTCCTAGATTTAGAATTTTAGTGTCAAAGTATAAATATAGTTTTTATTTATAATAGGCTGCCAAATTATCATTCAAGACTGTATCAATTATATTCCTATTAACTGTATATAGAGAGCACCACATCAATATTTGATGTTATGAATATTTAAAATATTTTAACCATCAAACAAACGAATTTTGACCTCAAAAAATGAAAGTGTTTCAATTGACAGTTTCCTAATAATTATTAGTTTATTTTAAAAAAATATTTATTAACTATTTGTGTTTTATCTTCTTTAAATGTCCTAGTTACCTGATCATAGTTTTTGCCTGTTTTTTTAATTGATTTGTAGGAACTCTTTAAATATTGTATCAAATGGCCTTTTATCTGGCAGAAAGTTTTCATTGTTTTTCTATATTCAGATATTTCAGTCTTTTCTTTCATGGCTTCTGAATTTTGTGCTATACTTAATAGGGTCTTTCTCACTCTAAGATTAAGTGGGGAGGAAACTACTATGCCCTAGTTTATGTGTAAATTTTGTGTGTGAGAGAGAAAGAGATATAGATATTTAACTCATTTGGAAATTATCTCAGTGAATATGTAGAGTAAAAATCAACTGAACTAATGCTATAATTACAAGTCCTTCCCCATTGATTTTTTAAGTGCTACATTTATGTAGAATATATATATATATTTTATGTAGAATATATATATATATTTATGTAGAATATATATATATATATATATATATATATATATATATATATATTTTACATTTTATATGGATTCCTGAATTTTAGTATTTTATTGAGGAAAACTTCAGAATAGTTATAACTCACTTTTTCATGGGAGTAAACCAAGCCCTTCAAATGATGTTTAACTACTATTCCATAATTATTGTACAGCTATATCAGATAATATTTGTTTTTTTCTACTTGGCAATATGGCTATGGAATGGTCTTATTTAATAAGATAAAGATTGTCTTGATGCTGAAGTAAATTGTCAATAAAATATGCATCTAGTGTAATGTAAGTTCTTAAATCTATTTTTGAGGATTAAAAATATTTAATTAAAAAACACATGCTTCATAATGTAACAATTCAAAATTCATAGAACAATTAAAATAAAATAACAAAGTGGAGACAGATGCATGGATACAGAGAACAGAGAGACAACTGTCAGAGGGGAGAGGGTTGGGGGCTGAGTGAGAAGGGTGAAGATGTTAAGCAAAGGAAAAAAAAAAAGAAAGACTCATGGACACAATCACTGTATGGTGATTGTTAGAGGGAAGAAGCAAAAGTGGGTGTAAATAGTGATAGAGGGATACTTGATTGGGAGTGGTAAATACATAATAATACAATATACAGATGATGTAGTGTAGAATTGTATACCTGCAACCTGTGTAATTTTATTAACCAACTAGAGGCGCAATGCACAAAAATTTGTGTAAGAGTAGGTCTTCCTTCCTCCAGTGGCTGGCACTGGCTTCCCTCTGGCACCTGGGACCCAGGCTGCTTCCCTTCTCTGGCCATCCAAAGGCACCCAGGACCTGACTGGCTTCCCTCCACCCTGGCTTGGTCAGGAAGGATGTCTGGAATGACATCAGGAAGACATCCGCTCTAATTAGCATATTACCCTTTTATTATTATAGATGTCATCCCAATAAATTAAATAAAAAATAAATGAAATAAAAATAATACTATTCCTTTTTTTCTTTTTCTAGCAAGCTCTTAACTGTGATCGTGTGTTTGCCAACATGGCCCCCAAAAAGAAGACTGTCAGAAAGAACAAAGGAGAAATCAATGAGATGACCATAATTGTAGAAGACAGCCCCCTAAGCAAACTAAATGCTTTGAATGCGATCCTAGAGGGAGGCAATGGCCTTAGCTGCATTTCTTCTGAATTAACAGATGCTTCTTATGGCCCAAACCTCTTGGAAGGTTTAAGCAAAATGCGCCAAGAGAGCTTCCTTTGCGACTTAGTCATTGGCACCAAAACCAAATCCTTTGATGTTCACAAGTCAGTGATGGCTTCATGCAGTGAGTACTTTTACAACATCCTAAAAAAAGACCCATCTACTCAAAGGGTAGATCTCAACGATATCTCACCGCTGGGCCTGGCCACTGTCATTGCATATGCCTACACCGGAAAGCTGACTCTCTCTTTGTACACAATAGGAAGCATTATTTCTGCTGCTGTTTATCTTCAGATCCATACCCTTGTAAAGATGTGTAGTGATTTTCTGATACGAGAGATGAATGTTGAGAATTGTATGTATATTGCTAACATTGCTGAGACGTACTCTCTGAAAAATGCAAAAGCAGCAGCCCAAAAATTTATCCGGGATAACTTCCTTGAATTTGCAGAGTCAGATCAGTTTATGAAACTTACATTTGAGCAAATTAACGAACTCCTTATAGATGACGACTTACAGTTGCCTTCTGAAGTAGTAGCATTCCAGACTGCTATAAAGTGGTTAGAATTTGACCAAAAGAGAATGAAATATGCTGCAGACCTTTTGAGCAATATTCGCTTTGGTACCATCTCTGCACAAGACCTGGTCAATTATGTTCAGTCTGTACCAAGAATGATGCAAGATGCTGATTGTCACAAACTTCTTGTGGATGCTATGAATTACCACTTACTTCCGTATCATCAAAACACATTGCAGTCTAGGCGCACGAGGATCCGCGGGGGCTGCCGGGTCCTCATCACTGTTGGGGGACGCCCAGGCCTTACTGAGAAATCCCTTAGTAGAGACGTTTTGTACAGAGACCCTGAAAATGGATGGAGCAAGCTTACAGAGATGCCTGCCAAGAGTTTTAATCAGTGTGTGGCTGTGATGGATGGATTTCTCTATGTGGCTGGTGGTGAAGACCAGAATGATGCAAGAAATCAAGCCAAACATGCAGTCAGCAATTTCTGCAGGTACTTGATCCTTTACTAGTAATTGAAATGGTCCAATATTATGAGGAAATTGCCCTGACATAGAAGTAAATTAGTCAGGCCTATTAGCTTAATTCATTAGCTCAGTAAATTAATAATAATAATGGGACATCCTATCTAATAAAAGAGTAATATGCAGATTGACCATCACTCCAACACACAAGATCAAGATAGCTGCCTCTATGTGGTCAAAGATCCTGCCCCCATGTGGACACAAGATGGCCACCACAAGATGGCCAGCAGGGGAGGGCAGTTGGGAGGAACTAGGCCTGCAAGGGAGGACAGTTGAAGGGACCAGGCCTGCAAGGGAGGGCAGTTGGAGGCAATCAATCCTGCAGGGGAGGGCAGTTAGGGATGACCAGGCCAGCAAGGGAGGGCAGTTGGAGGCAATCAATCCTGCAGGAGAGGGCAGTTAGGGATGACCAGGCCAGCAAAGGAGGGAAGTTGGGGGCAAACAGGCTGTCAGGGGAGCAGTTAGACATCAATCAGGCTGGCATGGGAGTGGTTAGGGGGTGATCAGGCTGGCAGGCAGAAGAGGTTAGGAACAATCAGGAAGGCAGGCAGGTGAGCAGTTGGGAGCCAGCATTCCTGGATTGTGAGAGGGATGTCCGACTGCCCTCTTCCAGGCCTAAACAGACAGTCAGACATCCCCCAAGGGGTCCCAGATTGGAGAAGGTGCAGGCTGGGCACCTTCTATGCACGAATTTCGTGCACTGGGCCTCTAGTTTTATATATAACACTTCACATTATGTAAAATGGATTCAAGTACTGTAGATTTCTGAATAAGCCTGTGAAGTGAGCAGAGAAAGTAGGATTATTCTGATTTTCCATGTGAAAAATTTGATGCCCAGAAAGGTTACACCCCTAATAAATGGCAATTCACATTTTCTCATTTCTGGTCTGGTGCTCTTCACAATGTACTGCTTTTCTGAAAGACACTGTGTAAGAATTTAGTTTTTAATACTAATGTCGAAAGAAAGATTAAAATAATACATTTCTTTTAAGTGACTTATTGATGACTGTCAGATTTATAATTAGCAAATAGAATGAGCTCATTAAAAAAGTGGCAGCTAATTAATTTAAAATACATATTTGAAGACTAATCCCAGAGAAAATGTAAGTATTTCTTAAATATGAAGAGTAAAAAAACATAATAAATCCTTCAGAAAAGCCTTCAAATGCCATATTATTTTTGTATATTTATGATAAAAAATTAAACTTCCACATGTATGAAATGTTTAGGAAGTTATGCTTACAAAATCGAATATAACTAATGAGCAAGATCTGAAAATGTGTACAAGTATATGAAGAAGCAATTCTTCATTTTATTGTGTTACTTTAATGAATTCAAACAATTAATGGATTTTTAATTTTTAATTTACAACTTTAGTTAAGTTTCAATTTAGGGGTTAAAAGGGACAAAGATGGATGAACATCAAACTGATGGAGTGAATTCTGTGTTTATAATACTTCAGGAAAGCATAATTTACTATAACTACTGATTTTCCTCCACTGACAATTCAACTATTGGTACTCAAATCATTGTTTTTGCAATTTTGATTTTAATGCTTATGGTATACTTACTGTAACACTGAACCCTAAAAAAATATATCCCTCGACTAAAATAATATTACCTGCTAAAACGTGGTAGAAAATAGACAAGTATCAAAAGTTATGGCTTTGTTGATGCTTTTGAACATTGATCTCATTCTAAACAGACGATAGAAGACTTGGTTGAGTAACTCAGAGTACTGCTGCAATGGCCAGGACAGATGCATGAGGGGGGCTATGAGACAGGGAGAAATCCAATTAGTCAACTCCCATCTTAATTTAGCAGTGAGAATGAGCTAGGGATGTTGGTGTCTGAAGATCTGTGGAGTTGACTTTAATGTGGCCGTGTTCCCTTTTTCTGATTGCCACAAATACCCAGTTTCCCCCCTAACCCCACCCGTAGTAGACCCTACCTGATGAGGGATATGCGAATATGGAGGAAAGGGGACTGACAGACCTGTCTCTGTAGGGTCTTCTCCAAAGGGCCCAATAAAAGGAAGTAAATTTATTAACAGGAGGAGGAGGCTCACCAATGCCTTCCTTGTTTTCCCCAAGGGTCACACTTTTATACTGGCCTCTGGGCTAGGCGCTGCGCATAGTCAGAAGCCTCCTTGCGTGGGTGGTGTCACAATCCCCACTCCCTCCCCGGTGGTGGTTCGTGGAGTAACTGGGGTTCCCTGGCGGAGTAACTAACTGGGGTTCCCTGGCTGTCACTACAAGGCTGTCGCATTCCCTCTGCCCTTCCCAGATACGACCCCCGCTTCAACTCCTGGCTCCACCTGGCCAGCATGACCCAGAAGCGCACGCACTTCAGCCTGAGCGTGTTCAACGGGCTCCTCTACGCCGTGGGCGGCCGCAACATCGAGGGCAGCCTGGCCTCCACGGAGTGCTACGTGCCCTCCACCAACCAGTGGCAGCCCAAGGCGCCCCTGGAGGTGGCGCGCTGCTGCCACGCCAGCGCGGTCGCCGACGGCCGAGTGCTGGTGACGGGCGGCTACATCGGCAACGCGTACTCGCGCTCCGTGTGCGCCTACGACCCGGCCGGAGACTCGTGGCAGGAGCTGCCGAGCCTGAGCACGCCGCGCGGCTGGCACTGCGCCGTCGCGCTGGGCGACAGGGTGTATGTGATGGGGGGCAGCCAAGTGGATGCGCGCGGGGAGCGCGTGGACGTGCTGGCCGTGGAGTGCTACAGCCCCGCCGCCCGCCAGTGGAGCCACGCGGCGCCGCTGCCCGTGGGCGTGAGCACGGCGGGCGCCTCGGCGCTGCTCGGCCGCGCCTACCTGGTGGGCGGCTGGAACGAGGGCCAGAAGAAGTACAAGAAGTGCATCCAGTGCTTCCACCCCGAGCTCAACGAGTGGACGGAGGACGACGAGCTGCCCGAGGCCACCGTGGGCGTGTCCTGCTGCGCCCTGGCGATGCCCAACCACGTGGCCCGGGAGTCCCGCGCCAGCTCCGTGTCCTCCGTGCCAGTCAGTATCTGACGGCCAGGCAGAGGCGGAAGAACAACTGTTGATTCGTGGTGAACCTCTGAGCTAGCGCAAAGGAAAATATGTAACATTTACTGCAACGGTTGTAGTTTCAAATATATCGAGGCACGCGTCTTGATGGTTTTAATTCCTGGTATGGCATGATCTACCTCCTTTTTTTTTCTTCTTTTTTTCCTTTTTTTCTTTTTCTTTTTTTTTTAAGCAAAATTCAGGGCCTTTGCCAACAAAGAAAAGTAGAATTTACTCCAGCGGCCACTGGGTGGCAGGCAGAGTCGTTGTAGGCACTCTCCCACGTGGCATGTTTCCCAAACGTATAGCGGTTACACCCACATTTGAGAAGTTCCCTCTTTGCTTAAGTACTTACTACTTAGGACCCTTAGGTGAGTGATTGGTTTCATGTACATGGTTATTTCCCCCTCTCTTTTCTTTTAGGAAGCCGAAAATAGTCATTGATAGGTTTTATTGTAAAATGGAACTCCATAATGAGACTTAAGGTTTGATTCCCTATTTTAGTGAAGTTCCTTTTCCTGTCCATGACTGAGTGAAGGATCTTGAAACACATCCCATGACCACATCCTAAAGCTTATGGCAAATTCTGACTGGAAAGTAAGGGGATTCCACCCGGGGTTGTCAAGGTGACGCCTTAGGGTTATCCCTAAGCCATTTCTTCCCTATGCCTCAAGCCCTGGTGTATTCCACTATATGAGTCTGCTCTCAAAGTAGGAACTGATGCTAGTCATCTAGTTTCTGGTGTAAATTTGAGTCACTTGTCCTTTCGCCTAGAAGTATTTGCACTTTAAGCCATGCTCCCTATTAAAGGAATTGCAAGTACCTTGGGAGCCTTACTCTCACCCTAAAAACCCATGCCAAGATGACTAAAAGCAACCTTGACCCTAATGTACTAGGTATGCTCCAGGAAGAACACCAAATAAAACTATGTCCTTAAGGATCATTAGCTTCAAGCTTATATAGCCTGAAGGTTATATAAGCTAATAACAATAATTTGATTTCGCCCACACTTTTACATAGATGAAAATGGAAACATATGGAATTCTTGGATAACAGGACGAGTGGGTTGTACTGTTGGTAAATGCCATTGTTTCTCATATTATAGCAGTCCTGATTTTTAAAAATATATATTTTATTGATTTTTTTACAAAAAGGAAGGGAGAAGGATACAGAGGTAGAAATACTGATGAGAGAAACATCAACCAACTGCCTCCTGCACACTCCCTACTGGGGATGTGCCCGCAACCAATGTACATGCCCTTGACCGGAATCAAACCTGGGACCTTTCAGTCCGCAGATCAACACTCTCCACTGAGCAAAACCAGTTTCGGCAATCTTCCTGATTTTTTAATTAAAAACATAATACATCCATTTCACATGGAAGCATTAAAATAACATGTGAATATTCTTATATATATTATTATCCCCATCTGCTCCAAATTAGCTTTGCAAATTAATGTGTATCCTCTTGATATCATTTTTTTTTTTTTTTACATATTTGCCAAATTTTGGAGCCAGGGAACGAATGTAGTAAATTATACATATTTTCCTTTCTTATAATTTATCACTTTATTCTTTGATAGTTTATTTGTTTTGGAGAGGAAGCAGCCTTTCAATTATGGGCTCTATGCAATTGGTCTTTGAAAAAGAAAACACACTATTAAAATGTGAGCTGAACGGGAATGTAACTGGGTTTTCATTAATCCTCTCCCACCTTGTGTAGATAGGTTGTTGCTAGAGTTACAATATTTATATTTAAAATATTTTATTCGAACTGTGAAAATTGGTTCATATAGTACACTTTGTGGAACAATTTTATGTCATTGCCCCTTATGAAAAGTTCAGTCTCTGTGTATTTACTGGTAACACTCTGGTAAAGGCTAAAACACTAAGTTAAGTATAAGTTAAGTACAAGACATTATTCATAATTAAAAACCACAGGGCTGTTTCTTCACCCCACACAGAGCACGAGGCACTTCCCCAAGCACAGAGCAGGTCCCTTTCTTCTTATCCATCCAGGCCGGGAAGGAGAGCTGTGCGAGAAGCCAGTGTGTGGAGCAGCTGAATCGCTGAGCTCTTAAATTCCAATGCACAAACAGAGAGCATCTTTTATCCTTGCAGCACCGTTGGTAAAAATAAACTTTTCCTATTTCATCAGTTATTTTGGCCACAACTTACAAAGCTTATGTGAGGTGACTGTAACATCTTTTAGTTTGGTATAAATGCGTGTTCTCATGCAATTGAGGAGCCTGTAGTATACTGTTAATTTAGAAAGAAAAAAAAAAGAGGGGATTTATTACGGATTACAGATCATAAGTGGCAAATAAACATAATTCCTTCATGCACACTACCGTAGTAGGTCTGTCTCCCATTGAAATCCCAGAAGTATTGTAACGTGGAGGACCTAAGGCATAAAATGAAATAAGAATCAATCACTTGTGACAATTTATCACAGAGGAATGAAGAGAGATGCTGAACATAGAGGCTTTTGCATCTGTTGGATCTTAATAAGCTAGGTGGTGCAAACACTTGGCAGTGGCTTTCTAGAAATGAAACTGGAAACATGTTAGAGCTGGAAAAATCATTTCAAATGACTATTTGATGTATTTTTCTACATTGTTTGTCTGAAGACTCAGATAAATACACATACCTGGGCTTACAGGTGCCTGGGTACATTGCAGTTCGATCTTTTGCTTCAACAATTATGTCGAAAATTAAAGATCACGATGAGTTTGGCATGCCAGAATTTCTGACAGAACAAATTGGAACATAAGGAGCATGGAACATAAGGGTTGGTGAAAGTTTTATATCCTGGAACCTCCTGCACTGACAACTGAAAGAGGTGAAAATATTATATACAGAATCAAAATATTATGCGTCACCTTTCACGTGTAAGTGAAATATACTCTTTAACTATTGGGTCGGCAACTAAGTAATTGCGGGTTCCACACATATATGGCTTCAGTTGAATTTTTAGGTTTGCAGACGTAGTACAAATGTAAAACACATTTTGTTATTTGATAGTTGGCTATTCAGCTGTTAATCAGTAAAAAAAGTTTTTTGATATGTTTTGTAGTTTTCGTTTGGCGTTCGTTGAAAAATGGAAAATCAAAAGGAACATTTTCGTCATATTTTGCTTTTTTATTTCCGCAAAGGGAAAAACGCATCGCAAGCTCATAAAAAGTTATGTGCTGTTTATGGTGACGAAGCCTTAAAAGAACGGCAGTGTCAAAATTGGTTTGCCAAATTTCATTCTGGTGATTTTTCACTCAAAGATGAAAAATGCTCTGGTCGTCCAGTTGAAGTTGATGACGCCCTAATCAAAGCAATAATCAATTCGGACTGTCACAGTACAACATGTGAGATTGCAGAGAAGCTTCATGTACCACATACATGCATTGAAAATCACTTAAAACAACTTGGCTATGTTCAAAAACTCGATACATGGGTTCCTCGCGAACTGAAAGAATCACAGTTAACGCAACGCATTAGCAGCTGCGATTTGCTAAAGAAACGTAATGAAAATGATCCATTTTTAAAACGACTGATAACTGGCGATGAAAAATGGGTTGTTTACAACAATATCAAGCGGAAAAGATCGTGGAGCAGGCCAGGTGAACCAACTCAAACAACATCAAAAGCTGATATTCATCAAAAGAAGGTTTTGTTATCAGTTTGGTGGGATTACAAAGGAATTGTCTACTTTGAACTCTTACCACCCAACTGAACGATCAATTCTGATGTCTACATTGAACAACTAACGAAATTAAACAATGCAGTTGAAGAAAAGCGGCCCGAATTGACAAATCGAAAAGGTGTTGTATTCCATCATGACAATGCAAGGCCACACACATCTTTGGTCACTCGGCAAAAATTAATGGAGCTTTGTTGGGATGTTTTGCCACATCCATCATATAGTCCTGACCTTGTACCATCTGATTACTTTTTGTTTCGATCTTTACAAAACTCCTTGAATGGTAAAAATTTCAATAATGATGATGATGTCAAATCGTACCTGATTCAGTTTTTTGCTAATAAAAACCAGAAGTTTTTTGAACGTGGGATTATGATGCTGAATGGGCCAGAGACCTGGTGTGGGAGTCTCCAGGAAGCCAGAGTTAATGCAGTCGGTCCATTTTTAGGAAGGCTCTTGGTGCCCAGGTGTCATCCCTGATGCCCTAGTTGCTTTCAGTGGCTTTGAATGAGTTTTTGTTTTACTTCCCATGATGTAAGAATGGTTATGAGTAGATAGTCAGTGGTGGTACCAATTCATATAATTCTAAGCGAGGATTAGATAATAGTAGAATGTTATGAGTGCAGAGGGATAACTGAGGTAATAAGGAAGTGAGATGTACTGAACGGCTCTATGATTGGAGGCAGAACAGCGAGCATAGTAAGTGTGTTTCATAAACATGCATGTAAATAGAGGTTTACCTGGAAATAGGTGTTAAAAACATCAATTTTTTGCTGGTTATCCTGACCAAATACCTTCAGAATGTATCCAAGTTGCTAGATAAAAGAAACTGAAATCACTTCATTGTTTTTTTCCTTGCATTTCAAAGAAATGAATTTCTAGAACCTTCTCTGAACAAATGTTCTTTGAGTGAGTTCGATGCCTATCCCAGCCACTGATAACTGTTGTCTAGCGCAGCATTAAAAGAAATTATTTTTCAGTATCTCTTTTCATATGAGTAAGAACTTTAGTGTAGTTTCCTAAACACTCCTCCATGGTAATTATGACAACTGAAGGTTATAAATAATAAAAAAATTACCCTCTAGCACATTCAGAGGGCAAAGGTCATTTACATTTCCCTCTCAGGGAATTTGAAATAAAATACTTGCCTTGGACACTCTTTAAAAAACTTATTTATTTAGCAAATTTTGGGGAATTATTTTTTGTTTTGTTTGCTTAAAACATTCTGGTACTATATAAGGAACAACAAATTAAAATGTATGTAGTGTTTATAACCTCATCACTATCAATAAAGCTGCATTCAAAAAGAGCTTGTCAGTGGTCACATGGGGAAGGTTATGAAGTGTCTTCTTATGATGGTTAGGGTGGGTTTTTCCACCCCTCTGTTTAGTTTTCATGATGATTTACCCCAACAAACACAACAACAAAAGAAGAAATGCTATCCAGAGACAGGGAAGCATCAAACAAACTGTCAAACTTCAGAGGGAAGGCAGAGGAGGGTGGAGGTTGGGGGTAAGAGATCAACCAAAGGACTTGTATGCATGCATATAAGCATAACCAATGGACACAGACACTGAGGGGTGGAGGTGAAGGCATGTGCTGGGAGTTGGGAGTAGCCGGGGAGAGGCCAATAGTGGGAAAAGGAGACACATGTAATACCTTAATCAATAAAGAAAAAAAAAAAGAAATGACACATATTGAAAAGCTGCTCCAATAGCCTGAAGACAAATGAAATAAAAAGGTATAAAACACCAGTAGTGACTTGGCTTATAAACTCACACAAAAGCCAATTCAGACAAAAGTTCAAGTCTGGTCTATTTCCCCTGATCACTTAGAAGTCATAGGTCAAGTGTGGTTTCCCGTCTCATTTCCACCCTGACCACAGCCACCCTGGCACAGACTCAGATCCATCATCATTTGCAAGAGACCACTTTCCAGGAGATGAAAACGTCCACACAAACCCTAGTGGCTTTTCTCTGCCACCTCACCTTCCAAATGAGCAAATGGCGTGTAACCAAGACAAAGTTCTCAGCCTTTGATCTGATTTAGTAGCTAAGTAACAACACTTAGTTGAGGCCAGCTTTGTCATTTCTAGGAAACTCTAAATGGTAGCCACACTTTTTCTTACATTTCTCCAAGTCTTGCAACCATTGCAGGGGTAGGGAACATCGGCCTGCGGGCCGTGAAAAGTGTGACCCTGCCAAGGCATCAGGGGTGAATTAATTGCATGTTTGACCAGATAGCAGGCTAATTTTTAAGTTGATATTTTTGCATGGCCTGCGGATGATGTTATAATATCCAAATGGTCCTTGGTAGCAAAAAGGTTCCCCACCCTTTATTTAAAGAGATAAGCTCAACCCAAACAGTCTCTGAATTCCCAGTTTTGAGCAGTCCTCAGAGTTC